GATTGTTAGTATGATTGGTTGTGTGTGTTATGCATGTTTTGTCTGGCGGTACGAGAGAGCCTATGTGGGGTTTGAGGTTGTGCACTTATTAAGATTCGTCTCATAGTTCTATAACCACAATTTTAGACCCCTAGCCATGAACCCAGGAGGCTCGCCTCCTCGTTTTGGGATCCCTAGGCATGTGGATAATCAGGAGGTGGAGTACCCTTTAGGAGGTGACCGAGCTTTTGTCAGCTATTTGAGCAATGTTTGGGTTGACGAGGGTGGATTATACTGGAAGCCTTATTGGTACATAGCGTGGACCTATCGAGACGGCTTAGAGGTGACAGGCCCGCTGAGAAGCTTCGACATCCCCTTTTTGAACGTTGGTGAGTGGGATCCTATGGCGATCATCCCTCCTGATGGCGAGATCATCGATCCCGAGGAGCCGCCCATGGTACCCCCAGTGGAGCCGCAGGCTGTACAACCATTGCAGGCGATTCCTCCGTATCGCGGTCCACGTGATCTTCCGGAGTACGAGCCAGAAGACTTAGTAGAAGAATGGGAGGGGGGTGACCCTTAGGTTTCACCAGGGTATTTTAGGGGTTGTGTAGAGTAGGTTTGACTAGTCACTTTTTGGAAGATAGGTCGATCTATAGTGAAGCTAAGTTAACCCAACCACCTGTCCCTTTTTGTTGTGTCGGTGGTTTTTGGATGCTCGTCTTGCTAAGCTTGTATGTAACGTTGTTTGTATGCTCAGTACGATGGCGATGTATAAAAGTGAATGTTGTTAGTTCATGTACTATCTTGATGCTCTATCCCATCGTCATCTTTATAGTATGGGAGTTTTTATAATCATTTCCGCCATGTGCGAACTCTGATGTGTTGGGTTGGGTCGGCGATGTTTTTCCTAGGACGTCGCATTAGTCGACTAAAGAGGGATGTTGCGAGCTCGATAGAGTTCGGGGCGTGACAATGTATTTCAAGTATCTATGCAAATCTAGATAAGAAGACTAATATATTCCTTTGACTAATATTCTAAGTCTAACAGAAATTGATAGCTAACCTTAGGTTTGAAATTCTAGAAAGAATAATTGAAGTAGAATCCAATCAATTGCCTCTCATCCGGAGATGAAGTGAATTATTTCCTAGTATAGCCAACTCTATTCGTGGAAACTACACTATTACCAGGAAGATTTGATTGTATGGGCGATTAAAATTTCGGTGATTATGTTGATTATCTTCAACGGATAAATTGATCTTTTTGAAGATTATCCAATGGCTAGTTTGAAGATTGAAGACTATGTAGTAAGGTCAATGCATGCTAAAGAGATACAACTACAAAAAGAGCAAACTAAAAACTTTGATATTGTCATCTTCATATGGTGTTGTAAGTGTGAAGTTTTGCACTTGTACTACGCTCTTTTAAGAGTTCTTGTCAGTGATTGTAATATGATTTGAGGAGTGTACGATTGTTGTAGCGGTGCTTGAGTTTTGATAACGTGATCTATCAACTTTTGGGTGAAGCAATACTTGCTACTTTGTAACTACTTAAGAGATTACTAGTGAATTTCAGCAAGTTCGTGGATATAAGTCTGAGAGTGGACGTATGCTTGGTTTAAACTGCACTATAAAGATGTGTGTGCATAGCTTTCTATCTCTTTACTTCTCAAGTCACTTATCTGATGAAGCATAACACACCTGACGGCATCAATTTATCTCTGCATCTATCAACCTACTCTTGCATATATTAAATATGTCTTATTTGTGAAAATTGTTAAGTTTTTATTAATCAACCTAACCTATTCACCCTCTTGGTTGCATAGTTAGCCACAACATCATGGAGGTCCAATTTTGGATTAAAAAAAAACTTGAAATTTGACAAATTACCTTAAAATATGAGTTATATAAGTCTTATTTACGACTATGGACGTTGATACATATAACCTTATCAACCCTACAAATGGATAAACAACATCGCTTTGGACTAGACGAAAACCACATCGTATCCATGTCGTATTCGTTTGGTTGCCTTGTCCACGCAAAGCCACCACGTCGGATTTTTAATGGCCATCTTGAAAGGAGTTATGACTAAATGTAGTTTTGATCTCCAATACAAGTTTGGAGTATTGGCAATATGTATAAATAAGTTTGGGGTATTGTTGTCATAGTGGGCAAAGTCTAGGATTTTTATGGTCGATGGAGGGTATTTTTGTCACACTTATATAAGTTTTGGGTTTGGTGACACAAAAAAAAAAGTTCGAGGTATTGATATCACAATGGGCAAAGCTTAGGGTTTGTGGAGGTAGATGGGGGTATTTTGTCATATTAGTTCAGTTTTGGAGGTTTTAGTATCACAAAAAAAAAAAAATTGAGGTATTGATGTCTATTTTGGTCAAAGAGAGATATTGATATCATGTTGGACAAAATTTGGGATTTTTGATAGTATTTTTTTTTCATGTTTCTTTTCTGAAATATCATTAGGCATGTAGATCTATTAGATCAAATTGCTCCGTTCGCTCAATTTGACATAAGTTTAGGGAAGATTTTACATTTTTGTCATGCCATGTTGCATACATAGTTCAAAAGTTGACATTCCCAATTCCATTCATTAAGTAACAAAATACGAAAAGGGCAAAAATTAAGAAAAACACAATTTATTAGTGTTTTATATTTTTTATGCTTTAACCAATGCAGAGGTAAAATTTTTTCATATACACACATTCAGTTTTATGTTGTGATGAGAAATTTCCATTCAGATATTCGAAAGGTTTTGAAAATATATATACGATTGGCTGAAAAAAAGATAAATTTTTTTATATGATGGAGTTGGTTTTCTTACTTCAAATGAATATATCCATATTCAGTAAACATGTAGACTGCCATCATATACATTCACAACACATATATGATCCCTCTTGTGTCAGTTTCACTTAACATAATAGATGGAAACCCGAGAAAGTCATCTAAGTTGGCTCCTTTGTTATGTGGCAACACCTATTTCAGAGTCACTTAACCGCAAAAAAACTCAAACCTGAGATTATAGTCTAAGTTGGCTGCTTTATTTGGCAAGTAAATGATAATACTCTTGGATATGACAATGTATGAAATCATTGAATATGTGAACAAATTGCCATATTTGGTTGAACAAATGTTACCAAATGCCATGACTTTATTGTAAAGCTGAGATTGCCATTTATGTCGGATTTTATATCGTGCTGTTTATTTATTTGTCATATCTATTATCACTTTCTTGTCATGTTAATGGGGGCTGACTTGGACTCCTATTCTAGGGTTTCTCCTTCATGATATTTGAGATGCGTAGAAAGAACTAGGGTCTGTGGACCAACCATGCGTAAGTGGAAATTCAAAGCTTTACTTGATAATACAGTCTAATTTGATGAAATTGGCATATCCGATGATTAATTTTCTTGAGATTCTCAAGAACGCTCTTTTTGTGGTGATGAAACACTAAGATAGAGAAGCCAAATTTTAGGATTGATGAATGGTGGCGATCGAGTGGGTAGTGAACTTACCGTCTCGATGAAATTGCATGAGCCATTTTTTTAACAACCTAGGGGCACGAGTACAACAGCCTAATTATCTGGAAGTCCACAGAATATCCTTACAAACCCTTTGAATAGATTAAGTCCATAACTTTGACGTGTGCAATTTAATGGTGGGAGTTAAATACCCTTCAATTCTTAAGCTGGAAACACCCGGCACTTAACTAAGCACATCAACTCTATTCACTTACAAGCCATTACTTTTTTTTTTTTATCTCTTCATGTACATTTACTTTTTTTTTTTTGGTCAGAAATGTACATTTTACTTTGAATAGCCAAATTTTGAAGATTTCTCTCTAGCAAAATGACTCAAATCTCGATTGGATTTTTCTTTAAAGACAATGGGGTCATAGATGGTAGGAATATAGTTGCTCTAAAAGATTTTCATACTATACATCGATTTGTGTTTATCATTCGAGTTACTTACCTTGTCATGCCTCACCTACCCAAAGAATGAAAATTAATAAAAAGGGAAAAAAAACAACAAATAAACTAATAGCTTATTTCGGCTTTCATAGTACCCGAGCAAACTAAATGTAATACTACTAAAGGAAAAGCATGATGTCTAAAGGAAAAGCATGATGTCTAGCTAGACATCATGCTTTTCCTTTAGTTTCCTTTAAATATATATAGAAGGTTTGATACAAGCAAGTATTACATTTGTTTTACAGAAGGAAGTATTACATTTAGTCAAACATATTGTTGCAAAGAGATATACAAGGAACTCAGACAGGAGGGATCGCCTGTGGACTGGTATCACCTGATCTGGACCAGTGATATTAGCAAGCATAACTTTCTAGGCTGGCTTGTTTGTAGAGATAGGCTACCGGTGGCAGTAGCCAAATCACGATGGCTGTCTTCAGTTAATACTAAGTGTAATTTCTATATGACGGGTATAGAAGACAAAATCCACTTATTCTTTAAGTGCTCCTGGACCGGTAGTATATGGCGCAGTATCCTCACAAAAAATGGGATCTGGCGTTCTGCAGGAGGTTGGAATTTTGAGCTTCAATGGATGATCGGGGCCACCAAGGGCAAAAACTTAGAGGTGAGACTCCTCAAACTGTCCTTCTTAGCGACCATCTATTATATTTGGATAGAACGCAACCGTAAACTGTTCCAAAGCAAGTCACTTAAGGCTCATCTAATGTTGGCTAGGATTCGTAAGGTTATAAGGGGTAGGGCGTCACTCTACCAAAACGTAGGCTTTCCCAGACAAATCTTTTATTGGCTACTGTATGGAGACAGCCATTCTCCATCTTCTTATGTAATTAGTCTTTTTGTAATGCTGGGGGATGCCCTTGAGCTCTTGTACTTCATCTAATTAATGATACTCACATATTTACACAAAAAAAAGTGTTACATTTAGTCTTTAAATATCCCTAGATCGGCTGCTTGAAGCTTATTCATGAATGATCAACCAGTGTTTCACAGCGGGCTGAAAAAATCATTCAGCTATTTATAGTCTACCCTTGGAGCACCTGTTGCCAGCGGTGCAGCGAAATCAGCATCAAAGTTCCCACCACCATCGCTGTCCCCATGATGATGGTTTACCTACACAAGTAGTCGAAAAGGAAATGCATTCACTTGTTAAATGATGTCGATGCCATATGAGAACAAAAAGGAATATCAGATTAATAATAGTGGCCGAATTTTTTTTTATTAACCAACAAGGCTCATTCAAGTTTCTCATATCAGCTTCCTTTTCCTTTTTAACAAAAATTAAACTAAGATAATAGAAAACAATTTCTAGTAAGAGAACTGAATGTTGCTTTTAACTTTAACTAAGATAACTGATGATGTAAGATGTGTGAAATGCCACCACAAAACCAATTTAAAATTCCTGGAGGACGCAAATTCTGTGCATTGCAGGCCAAATATCACTGAGCTAACCAAGAGATAGCAGAAGAGAGAGCAGGCCAAGTTTTACAGATGGCTTTCAGGTAAATTACTGTTTGGGCGTCCACCAACAAGAAGCATTGAAATGATCGAAGAACGGCGTGATGTTAAACCTTACTGTACTTTTCCGATAGATGGTCTGGTTCAGATGGACGGGAGCAGGAATTTGCCCATCTGGAACATGGTTATGTATCTCGGTAACCAACATTACCGCATGCCCTGTGGTGACATCCTCGCTATTGCCTCCTGGAGCAGCTTCATATGTGAGCACTCTATCATTGCGAGCACTCGATGAGCTATTCTCGGTCCTAGGCTTCACAAAAAGTCGATAGAGCACGAAAGAAGCCTGCACATCAATAAAGTCAAAGGTTTAACGTCAAGAAGGTAAGGTTTTAGATGTTCTATGGTCATCGAGCATTCTTTGTTAGGTGGCTTACTTTTAGATCTCTTTCCGGGGTTTTGATTTTGAAAAACTACTTATAAGGGCAGACGTGAATTGTGTTCAATGTTCATACTATCAGGACGGTGGTTTTCCAATAAATGCAAAGTGCTATAGCTCTTGCAAGTGGTATATGCAGAATTTTAACATGTACTTAGGACAATTCAAGAATCTTCCTCGAGAAGTGATCATGATGCCTTCCTATAAGAACCATCGAATTTCTGCTAATAAATCATCCAAACGATGATTAAAAAGCCTCCTTTAATACACAGTTTGTTGTGCAATCAAACTGGGGAATCATACAAACATAACAGGTACTTAACCATGCAAACTGTTATCCAACAAAAATACGTGCACGCATGGAATTCATATCACTCTAATAAAATGGGAAAACGTTGCTCAAGAATCAGAACCCCTCACAACTGACGATTGACAAAAGGAAAATGCAAGAGCCAAACCACAACGTACAGATAAAAAATCAACTAAAAGTTTACACCAATCAGGAGGGAAGCATGCTCATTCATTTCAGACTTTTAAAAAAAAAATCTTGAAAACAAGCGAAATTGAGCATCGTAATGAATCACCTGGGCACGATCAGGCAGGGCAAACTCATGCAGCGTCCAATCAGTCCCAGCAGCATTTTGAATTGAATTCCCCATGTAGAAAACAAAGCAGCTCTTGGTACCCAGAACTTCACCACCACCACCCACGACAGCATGGTTCCCCCTGCCTCTCATCAGCCAGAACCCGCCATTCACAGCCCTCATCCTCCTCTGCCTCTCAGCAGGCCCACGAACTGCGGTGTCGAAGTACCAGTGCCTCATCATCCCCCCAGAGCCGTACTCAAAGTAGGATTCTCTGACAGTTCCGACGGGCTGTAGCCATACACATCGAGCTTCCTGATCAGGCTGTAATCCGAATGGTTGGCCGGATTGGGGTTCAGGCAGTCGTTCTTGTTCACCAGGTAGTAGCGGAAGAGCTCTTCATCGGAAGGGCAGAAGGTGAAGCCTGGCGGCACCACGGGCATCAGTCCCATGTTGTTGCTGTTCTGCTCATTGTTGGCAGCAATGTTTTGGCCAGCCGTTGTTGAGAGAGAGAGAGAGAGAAATTTGATGGTCTGAGGCAGTGAGAGAAAGGAGAATGAAGTGAAGAAGAATGAGGGAGTGGAGGCCTTTTATAGGGGAAGAAGAAAGAGATGTACATGAGAAGCAAACAGGAGAGCAGGTGCATGAGACTAAAGGGCAAAAAAGGACATCCTTGTCTTGCGCTAAAAAGGCATGCCTTATTTGCTTGTCCAATTTTGGCATGGGTAGTTGGATAGGATTGAGCAGTTGGTCTTGTTCTATTCTTTTTCTCTTGTTTTGGCAAGTAGGAGGACAGAAACGGCTGTGGAAAAAGAAGAAAGTGCGAAAGAGGAATGTGGCAAAAAATGTGGACAAAAAGAGAAACAACTATTTCCCCCTTTTAATTTCTAGATTATATTTCCATTTTCAATCTTATCCTTCATAAAAAGGCAATTAAATCTGGAGTAATTATGACTCACTTTGATCTAGAAAAAAGTTTTACATAAGTATTTTTATACATTATAGCTTACTTCAGCTTACATAATATTTGAGCAACTAAATCATAATACTTGTTTTAATCAATATCTCGACAAATTCTTGCTCAAAAAAGAAGAAGAATATGTTAGTATTATGTGATAGAAAGATGATTCCTACAAGAGAAAAAAAAAATCATGATGAGACTTATCATTATGCATGTGATGAAGCCAAGATGGTTCGATGTGGTTACTATTCGACTTGACTTGAACTCGATTGAGTTAGACATTAAAGTTTGAGTTAAAATCAATAAGAAAATTAACATATTTCGACTCAAATTAGTTGATTATCCTAAGTTAAATTCAATTAGCTCGACTAGGGCTGGAGATCAAATTAGAGTTCTCGCGTGTGGTTGAAAAAGTGAATTTTGTTACAAATTTTTCTAAGTTAAATATTTTTCGTTTTGATCCCGTAAAAAATGACTTTAAATAATCACGAAAAAGTTCTGTATTTTTTAATGAGTTTAAATTCATGCACTCACTCAAAACGAAATTAAAAATGCCAATTTAAATGAAAGTCAAATCTCAAATACTGAAAAATAATAAGTTAAGATCAAAAGTCAATTTAAATGCATATTAACCCTTCAAATAAATTTATATAAGTCAAAAGTGAGTTGTGTCTCACTATAAATTCCTCATTTAGCCCTTATCTACCTATTTTTAATATCGTAATGTGATTCAACTTTAAAGAAGAAAAAGGTTAAGCTGGCAAAAATTAAAAGGATAAAAAGCAATACTTGTTACGTTGTAACTACTCAAGAGATTATCTGTGAATTCTAGCTAGTTGATGACTGTTAGTCTAGAAGAATGAACATAGGCTTGGTTTAAATCGAACCATTATAAAGATGTGTATGCACTGTAAGGTAGGGGTGAGCGGTTTCAGGTTCCGTTCAGGTTCCACTTGAAACCTGTAACCTACCCATGGGAATAGGTTCCTCAATTTTTGGAACCTAGAACTTACCATGTATACCTTAGAACCTGGAACCTATCTTGTCAGAGGTTCCTGGGTCGGTTCCAAGGTCTATCCAGATTCCACCTGTATTATTAATTGACCGATTGTTGTGAATTATTACCTTTAATGATCATCACTTGCTGCTACAATCCATTGACCACGACTTATATTTAAACACACTAAGAATATAAAACATTAACAAAGTAAAAGTCTCAGTCATAAAATGAATGTTCATACTAGTGGTTCTAGATTGTATACCCATCATCGGATGCTATTGAATACCGCAGGATCACGTGGATCCATAGACCAAGAAAAACACAAAAACTTATTTCAGGTTCTAGGTAACCTACCTATTGAAATAGATTTCCCAATTTTTGCAACTTGAAACCTACTTGCATACCATAGAACCCGAAACCGATAGGTTTCCATCGATCTGGTTCTCAAGTTACAGGTTTTAGCCTGGAACTATACTCACCCTTACCGTAAGAGTGAACGATTCCACGGTAGGCCCAAGTGCCTATCTTGTCACGATAGGGTCTAAATTTTTAGAACTTAGAACCTACCTTATATATCTTGGAACCGACCAATTCCTTCTTTTGTTTCATTTTTTTATTTTTTTGCTTCATTTTTAGTCAAGCAAAATGAAAATTAAAAGCAACAACAAAACTTCCCCTTTAAATACACTACAAAAAGGTTTTTCCGACGAAAATTTCCGACGAAAAAATTTTCGTTGGAAATTTGCAACGACATTTCCAACGAAAAATAAAATCGTAGGAAATTTGCGGCGAAGAATTTTTTGTCGGAAATTTCCGACGAAACAATTTTCGTCGCAAATTTCCGACGATTTTTGCGATGAAACACTTTTCGTCGGAAATTTCCGATGAAATTTCCGACGAAACAATTTTCGTCGCAAATTTCCGACGATTTTTGCGACGAAAATTTCCTACGAAATTTTCCAACGAAATATTTTTCGTCGGAAATTTCCGACGATTTTATTTTTCGTGGAAAATTTCGTTGCAAATTTCCAACGAAAATTTGTTCGTCGCAAATTTCCGACGAATTTTGGCGACGAAAAAATTTTGGTCGGAAATTTCCGACGAATTTTATTCGTGGCAAATTTGCGACACGAAAAATGATTTTTTTGATATCCGTCCTGACCCCCAATTTCTCTCTATCGACTGATTCCTCTTATCCCCTCGTTGTTCTCTCTCCGTCTCTCTCTCTTTCATTTCTCTCGAATTACTTATCGGTGCACGCGCAAATCAATCTCGGTAAAGCTTTTTCGCCGGTAAGTGTCGTGGCTAATTTCATGAATAATTGGCGACGAAAACGGTTCGTCGCAAAATTATTCATCGCTGGATTTGTATTTGTTGGTGTTATTAAAATTTTTTTTCCCTTCCTTACTGGTTTGGCCGATCTCCGGCCATGGGGCGAGGTCCAGTGGCCTGGCCATGGCTGTCGGTCGACCTCGCCGACGCGCAGGTGGGCTAGCCTCGCATGGGCCTCGCCGGCCAAGCTCAAGATCTGGGCGAGCTCGCCGGCCATGGCGAGCTCGCCGGCCAAGCTCGCCGGCCATGGCGAGCTCGGCCCCGGCCGGCGGCGAGGCCGGCCCTCGCCGGCACCGGCGAGGCCGAGCTCGCCATAGCCGGCAAGCTCGAGCTCGCCCGGATCCGGGCGAGATCCGGGCCTCGCCGACCATGGCGAGCTCGAGCTCGCCGGCGGCTTGGGCGGCCCTCACCTGCAGCCGGCGAGGCCGAGCTCGCCATGGCCAGCGAGCTCGAGCTCGCCGGAGGCGAGGGCCGAGCTCGCCATGGCCGGCGAGCTTTAGCTCGCCCAGACCTCGGCGAGATCTGGGCGACCTTGAGCTCGTCGGCGGCTTGGCTGGCCCTTGTCAAGCATCTGGCGAGGGCCGAGCTCGCCGGCGGCTTGGCTGGCCCTCGCCGGCACTGGCGAGGGCCAAGCTCGCCATGGCCGGCAAGCTCGAGCTCGCCGGGTATGGCGAGCTCGGCCCTCGCCGGTGCCGGCCAGGGCTAGCCTCGCCGCCGGCGAGCTCGAGGTCGCCTAGAACTTGCCGCCGGCTAGCTCGCCGGTCGCCGGACAGGCGACTGGCCAAGAAGAAAGGGCAAAAAAAAAAAGAAAAAGAAAAAAAAAAGAGAAAAAAATAAAAGATAATTAAAAAATAAATTTTAAGTAATTTGTTTTTATTTTAGGTACGTGTCCATTTGAAGGTCTTGCAATCCAAGTGAACGATGCAATTCTCATCAAATAGACCACTTTCTACTACAAAGGTTTCAGTCAAATACTTGGTAAGTTTTCTTGATATGGTAATTTTTTCATTTTTTTCAAGTCGAAAGTAATTGTTTCGTAAAAAAGAAAATTGTAATTGTTAGAATTTTATGGTTTTAATTAACAATATTAAACAATAGATATGATATTTTTAATATTGTACGAGAATTTTTTTATTTTTATACAAACACAATGCAAAGAGACAGGGGTTGGATGTATAATAAGAACTTACCTAGACGTCAAGGATTGACCGATGAGTTTCGAATCGGGGTGGAACTATCTTTTGACTTTGCTAGTTATAAATATGAGTTCATGGATAGAAATAAGTTAAGGTGTCCATGTAGAAAGTGCAGTAATGGAAAATTTCAAGATATTGACATAGTTAGAGAACATCTTTGTAGATTTGGGTTTACTCCGAACTATTATAATTGGACTTACCATGGTGAACCATTTATATCTGATGACGGATATCGAAGAAGCGACCAATTGTTAGTTAGGGAAGAATGTAACTATTATGACCAATTGAACCCATATCAGGGGATGGTGTTTGATGAAGCCGGCCATAATTTTGTTTCAGAATCGAATCATGCAAGTACTAGTTTAACTCCTACACTTGAACAAGTGGGAACTAGTCATGCATCACAATTGGAAGAGGCAGGAGTTACAGGTTTTGATGAGAATGTGTGTGATGGAACTTTTCAATCCAATCAGTTATGGGAAGTGTTGAAAACAGCAGATGAACCTTTATGGGCAGGTTGTGACAACCACACGAAGGTATCAGTGACAGCAAGAATGTTAAATATCAAGGCAGAGCATAATGTGTCTATGGATTGCTTCAACTCTTTTGTTGAAGTAATGCGGGAAACAATGCCTCGTGATAACATCATGCCAAGTGACTTTTACGATATGAAAAAGTTAGTGGATAATTTAGGTCTTTCAGTTGTAAGGATTGATGTATGTAGTATGGGTTGTATGTTATATTGGAGAGATGATGAAACTACAGAATCTTGCAAATTCTGCAGCCAACCTAGGTACAAGATTAACAGGAGGCAAGGTCGTAATCAGAAGCGTAGACCATGTAAACAAATGTTCTACTTGCCCTTAATCCCCAGGTTGCAAAGGTTTTATGCGTCTCAAGCCACTGCTGAACACATGACTTGGTATGCAAATCATGAAACAGAAGAGGGTCTAATGTGTCATC